TGTGGGGGCATGATAGGCACAACAGTTTTTGGAATTCTTGGGCCAATAACTTTGTTTCCTTTAAAGACATGTTTCTGAAAGCAACAATACATGTTTCCAGGAATATTTTGGGTTGAGCGTTTCTATGGTTACCAGTCTAGTGGCCATGTAAAAAATCAAACCTCCCAAAAGTTTCTCCTTCAAAAGTATGTAACCTGAAACTGTGATATTTTGCAGAAATACAGTGCATACAAAATTGAAGATCTGGTCCGATTTGAATTCCCAAATTTCTTTTTGGTGACGTCACAACTGATGACGTCACAAAATAGGCTTTTTGGTTAGGCGCAGTACTAATCCAAAATAAGAAGAATTTGAAACAATAACTTAAATAGCCTCAACTCATTATCTTCTATAGTTTAAGAGATATTACATATAATTTGCACATTTTAAAAAATAGTTTGGACATATTTGTGGCCCACTTTTAGCCCTTTTTGCTAGCGTGCAGTTTTATGCAAATAGCTTAGAAACTGAGCATATATCATTAATGAGTAAAGTGGGTAAAATAAAAAGTTAGACGAATTGTAGGCACCACATCTAGGTGTCCCAGTACAGGGACCGCGGAGCAAGGTGAAAAGTGGGAGGGCTGACAATTGAAAATCGAAAAAAGGAATAAAAGGAATAAAATCATAGTATTTGTATGTTTACTGGTCAACTGTCAAACTCATCATTCTCACTGCAAGTAGTTGTCGTCTTTTCTGCAGTGCTTACAGACTTTGACGAAGTCCCAGATAACTCTAATAAACGACCAACATACACGGCCAGTTCAGATTCAATGCAAGAAAAGACGGGATTACAATTTTAGTATAGAAAATACTACACTGACGTGATCCGAAAAATGTCTAACTATGGCCGTTCACTGTTCAAGTAATGTAATTCTTCTTGCCATCGAATATTTCACTGATTCGAAAGGAGAAAGAAAAAATATAAAACTTTCATCAACTCAAAACAACTACTCACCTTCGCTTGGCTTGAAAAAGCTAGTAATTTTCTTCATTTGTCTAATAAAACTGATAAAAAACTCTGCCGGAGCTGGAAGTACAAAACACGCTGCCGAACGAAGCGAAGGGGTGGCCAAGGCATGGCGTTTAATCAAGGGGCAAGTCGGCCCAAGGGCACAATTACTGTGAAAAGCACAGGAGCCCCACAAAATACCTGGCGTTTGAAATTAAAGAAAATACAGAGAATATAACGGAATACAGACGGAAAAAACTTGTTTCAAGTCTTTTTTTAAAATTTAATTATTTTTCCTTTAGCGCAAAAAGTGGGGGCGGGGGCGCAAAAAAGTGGTGGGGCCGCGGCCCTACCAGCCCCTCCCCCTCCGCGGTCCCTGCAGTATCAGGGAGGTACATGCAGGCCACAGACAGAGGTGTCTGCAAAGTTCCTATAGAGAAGCTGATGTGACGTCACCCAAATTATAGGATAGGTCAGCATCTCCAAAAAGAACAAGAAAAACCAATCAATCCCATAATTTCACAAATTTAGTTTTTGTGACGCCATCACTTCTCTTTTCAGTTTGCCCAAGACAATTACTCGCTTAGATGACAGTTTCAATGCATTTACCTGGTAGGATATTTCCCCATATTATTTTAGCATAACCGTCACTGTCTGGCCGAGACTGTGTATGCCACAATCCCAGGGCATGTCCCATTTCATGAATAAGGGTGCCTGCCGGACAGTGGTCTCCTAATTTGATTGGCTAGTATCCACCAATGCAGCCAATCGAAGAGGCACAACTAAAACAGACACAATTTATTAGGCTCATCACTGACTAAGGCTCATGATAAGCGTGAAGAGGGAATCAGTGGCTAGCCTTGGTCTCCCCCAAACGCACAGTTACTTGCCTGGGTTTGTTTCAAAAATCACCTTCTATAATTGAGTGTTTGTTTGTGTATTACATACAAATACCAGAGAAGGGTGAAAAAATGGTGGAGTTTTAAATTTATACTTTATATGATGTTTCATTCATTGTTTGACTATAAGCTTTCGAAATGGCCTGCTACATCTTTGTTGTTAGCTTATTTATAAGGTTTAACTGATCCCCAGAAGCAATTAACCCATTTCTCTAACCCTACTAACTGAGGTTTCCTTCTAGCATACATGACTGTCACTAAGATTTATTCTTGCAGGGATATAAGCAATTAGCAGATGAGGAATTGAACAGCAATTTTCTTTTGGTTCTTTTTTTTTCCTTTTGTTTCCTAACTGGGGAAATCCCCAGTCCCCTGCCCTCAGAATGCAAAGAAAGACTAGTAGTGTTCAATAGTTCAAGGCTAGTGAATTTTGCTATTGCACTAGTAAATCTATTCTTAACTTGCCCAAAGGGCAAGTGAAGTTTTGGGGGAAATTCAAATTACAAAAACAACTGTAATCAACCATGCTCATAAAAAATTTAGGGAGGAGGGCTAGTTAAAATGAATTTTGGACTATTACATTCTATAACTACAGCTTGCCTAAATTGCAATTTGCACCCTGGGTACTTAAAGAAGCCTTGTTACATTAGTATATACATTACATGTAGTTTTAGCGGGGCTCCCGCGCGCGCGAAGCGCGCGTGGGACAGAGCCCCATATCCATGGAATATGGTCAACCTCTTTTCGTTTGGTTGTCACGTGATTGACCGAGCGTACGTACGTACGTACGTACGCGTCTACAGATTGTATGGGTGGGGTAGGGGAGACTATCAAAAGGTAGGGAGGGGTGTCTCAGGCGTGTCTTGGCAAGTCCACATCTTTAATATAGGACATTAACAATATGGTCAATTGACAGCTGTCCAAACAGGATAGCCACTGACCAGTATCCCATGACCATATCGCGGGCTCATGTGTCAACTCATCGAGGTGACGTGATTTATTTGGAAGCTGTCCGCTGACCAGTTAGCTGTTTTACTAGATCGCGAACAACGTTCAATCTCATACTTTTACTAGTTTGGGAGCACAGGAAAACTGATAATGCACACATATTGGACATCAATGCTTTGATCAATTGACAGCTGTCAAAACAGAGTACCCGCTGACCAGTATCACTTGACCGTATCGCGGGCTCAGGTGTCGACCCGTCGAGGTCAAGTATTTTTTGCAGTTATCCGCTGACAAGTAAACTAGTTTTCAAGTGATCGCAGGCTCAAGTTCAATTTTTTCTCTTAATTCATATGAAATATGTTGTGTTTATGTGCTGCACAGTTAAAATTTTGATTGCAAACTGACCTCGGACGTGAAAATTCAGCCAGCTGTTACAGGCGGGAAGACAGTTGCTTTTGTTTTTTCTCACAATGGTCACGCGTTGGTCACGCTCTACGTCCAATTTTTATGCTCTGATTGGTCAAAATTTGACAGGTGAGTTCATGCGCAAAATTTATGCAGCATCTTGAATCTTGTTTACTTTAACAGCTGAAGCTGACAGAGTTTTGTGTCAACTTGTGATGTTTTTAACTGTCTTTTTCCACTGGATGTACAAAATGAAATTCAGCTGCTATCAGGAGTCTTCTGTTACTCATGGCTAGTTTGTTTATTGGGTTTTTGGTTGAGAAAACGTCGCTTGTCAAAGTCGGAAATCCGATTTCGGATGGCATCGTTTTCGTTTTTACCTTGCTTGATGCGTAAGAGGATTGCAAAGTCTGAAGCGATACTGGCTTTACCTGATAACTTTCAGGAGCTGCATCTCGAATGGTAAGCCAGAGAAATTATTGTATTTCATGTTTGTTTTTTGTATCTAATTTAATGAAGTGGAGCGTAGTTTATGCGGGAATTTAGTTTATGCGCGTTTGTAAGATTTGAGACAACGATCTCACCGAGTATCTGGTTTGATATAATCTTACAGAACTTTAAAAAGCCTTTAGACAGTTTCTCACCGCAAATAGAAAGAAAATGTTCCAAAGAATCTTTAGTTATAATTCTGGCCGGAAAAGAAAGCTTGGAGCGATTTTCTTGCCTCGAGTTCGTCTTTGAAAAAACAAACACCGGGAAGCTGACTTAAAACATAAACTTCAGCAAACTTAAGCTTGAAGCTTGAAGACTCATGATATTTAGGGACACTTTAATACTTGTCTTCCTGAATGAAAATTGTTGTCTCTGTTTATGTTTCACCGAATTATATTTCTTTTATTGATTGTTAGTAGTCTCTCTTGCAATTTTAATCGCTATGCCGATTGTTTTCAATCGTTCAGTGAACATCGCTTGCAGGAGTTCTCAAAATGCCGCGCGTTAAACCATCAAATAAAAAATAAACATGATAAATTCTTTATTATCTTGGAGCGTAACTCTGTTAATGTTCATTCAAATACTCCCTACAGCTCGCACTACAAAAGTGAGAACTGGATGGCCGTATAGGTGATTTTGGAAAATTTTTTTAACAGTTTATGAATATTGAATGAGAGCAATTTGTATTGTGAAATACTGCTTTCTGTCCATGGTATAAAAGGTTGGTTTACACGCGCCCAGATTTGTTGGCAAGATTTTGCAAAGTAAACTTGTCGAACGCCAAAACGTTGGCCTGATTTTTTTTCTAAGCCTAATTGATCTACGGTGATCAATAGCCATTACGGCTCTTAAATGTGATAAAAGATGATTACCAGTTTTTGAGCGTACATATGAGGCTATCAACTCGATGTAAGATTTGGTTCACTCTTGGGCTGTTTGCAAATTATTTTTCTCTAAAATCAGGTAGCCTTTCCCTCAAAAGTCACATAAATGTGCTCTAAAGTTAACTGAATTGTGGAATTCGAATACAAGTTTATTGTTTAATTTAAATTATAAATTTACTAATGGGAGCCTCGCTTTTAGCCCTGGCTAAATCTATATATTAAGCATATACAGAGTCCACACAGGCCAAAAACTAAGCCAGAAAGGAACTTCCACTAGCAGGGTATTTGCACTTTCTGTATGTAACCATTGGCATAGCCAAGTTACCTACGGCTGTCGGGGTTCTTTTCTCTGTACAACTCGATCCAATCTCTGTGACCAGACTTAAGGACAAACTGAATGCACGTTCATGTCATCTTGTTACTTTGCCATTAAATTTCGTGGCCAAATTTGGCACTTGATTTAATTTGTAAGAGTGCCTTAGTCTACCCTGATGTCGTTAAAGAGTATACATGTACACAGGGTTACAATAGTTGATTATAAATTAGACGCCATTAAGTACAATATGGTCTTAACATCAACTTGTGCCTACAAGTTTATCTCAGCATGCATGCATGCAACTTGTGAGTTCATCAGCACGGCACATACTGCAAAGCATACCAAGTTGTTTCTCACACATAATGGATATTTACATGTATTTATAACAACACCATTCCCTAAACACAAATTTTAGCCCGCGTAGCTGAATGGCTCAGCTACGGCAAAACAACATAATTGAAGGTGCAATCTTACCAAGATCAGGTGGGATGTAATAAGGAACAGTTCTTTCAGGCCACACTGTAAATTGAGTTTTGGACCAGACTCCCATGGCAGCCACATCTTGATGCAAAGGTTTTATCATATCTTTCTGAACCTTTGTAAGCAGGATGTCACCTTCAAAATCGTCTATCTCTGGGATATCTCCTATTATTAAAAACTGAATTATTGGATCATGTAATTCTACAGCTTAGCCATCATGGTATATGAGCAATTTAGTATATATACACTGAGTGATCTTGGTGATTTAAGCAATCTGATTGGTTCGCTATCTCGGACTATTCAACAATATTCACCTCCTAGCGAGTGGATAATGTGTGAGCTCGGTGTTTTTCTCATTTTTTTAGAGAACAATCTTTTAAAACTCAACAAAATCCTAGGGGTGACTTTTTTTAAGGCAAGAAAAGACATGGAAGGATTCAATACGGCGTTTTTCAATTTACTGTAGCTGAGTTTTGTGCTCGATGGATTGTTTGCAACTCCCGTGTATTCGCATAGAAGAAGCCGTTTCGTGAACTCAGCATTTTCTAACAAGAAACTTTTGGCTCAAAAATCGAATTTTATTCATGACAAACAAATTTAAAAGGAAATGTTTGCAGAAATTCTACGTTTCAAGTAAACAGAAAAAAGAATGATACAGGAAGACGACGTCTTACCTCAAGCAACCGAGTCGGCCATTTTTGTCGGCACTTCATGTGAAGAACGACACAACAAGCCCTTTTGGATAAAAACTTGGCGAGTCAACAGAAAACAACAAAGCTCCACTTTTCTTCTCAGGTAAGGAAACAGTTCAAACTTTTAGTGGTTCCATTTAAGCCATTACGCTGTTGTTTGCGAAATGATAAAGTTGTGAATTGCCATGTTTGAAAATTCTGCAAATATCTATTTTTAAATTGACACGTGATTTGATCTGTCAATCGAATTGTACTTTTTAATGGTTTCCTCTCTAATTTTGTTGAGATCACTTCGTGTGTATATACTAAAACAATTATTCTTTTCAATCTCCGTGAATAGTGGCTTTGGGAATATTTACCTTGCCGCTTTCGCGGCTCGGTAAATATTTAGCCACTATTCACCTCGAATTCAAAGAATTGTTAATTATACCATGCTCTCCAAATAATTATGGTAACTGTACAGGCCATCTGATATTATGCGATGGTGCGATTTCACACAATTGACCTCAAATCGCATCCGATCGCACAATTTGAAAAAAGCACATAATTCGTTAAAAAATGCTAAACTCAAGTAAAGTGAGCAATGAATTCTAACTTTAATTAAACATTTTCCCAATCTTAATGTTTTTTAAGGTGATTTACCACTAAAGAAAGCCTTGCAAAACATCTGAAACCTTCCATCGCTGTATCTGTATCTGTATGATTTCAGAGACAAGCAGCATGGTGTGCGGTGTAACAGCGTCATGTAATATTAAACAAGAGTGTCCTTTTTCTTTTCCGGGACAAGATAATCAGACAAGTTCACCTATTTTGTTTGAAAATAGATGTTTCATTATCCCTTTACATTCAATTGCATGTTAAACAATAATTATTAGAGTGGTTTTTCTCCTTTGAAACCTGGTAAAACAATGTAAACTAGGCCTGAAAAAACCGCATAATTCATCGCATAATAGTCCTATCTTATCGCACAATCTACCCTGAAAATATCGCACAATTTCTGAATTTTTATTGCACCCTAACAGATGGCCTGACTGTATGCATCTCCTCAAAACAAGCTGAAAATCGGTTGTTTTAACAAATAAAGTTGGAAGAATTCTCGATATTTTGTGGGGATTTTTAATAAAACAATTATTTCACTCACACTTGTTGGATATGAGATGGTTATGGCCAACTCATATCCAACATGCACTCATGGAATAATTGTGAATTAAAAGCACATATAAAGGATGTTAAATAAATCCTATCATGGGGTTTTGTTATATCAAGCTTCTCTTCCACATAATTATTTCATTATTATTGGAGTAGAGAAAATTGTGTGTTACACCAAGGACTTTGTTAAATAGAGATTTGTTGTATCAAGGTTCCACTGTAGCTGATGCTGAGGTATTATAGAATATCCATTGTATCAGTTGGTTATTGCCTTAATCTTCCAGATTCCAAATAATTTTATGGTCTGCCCCAGCTGGTTATGAAGAATTAGTTGTGGTTATTGAGCCGATGAGAAATGGAGAAATATGAATAATAATTAATACCATTAATCCCTTAAATATTACCTGTTATGTTGTACACATTCATGGCATCATGACCTCCTTCACCATCAAAGCATTCGTCTGATTCTCCGTGTTCCTTATACCCAGAGTAAAGGTTTCTACCTGAAAGACATTCACCACCATTCCGGATTGCAAAGTACTCATATCCTTTGTCTTTAGCCACTGCAGCACATTGTGTGACGGAATTAGCTCTGCAAAACAGCAGTAGAGTTAGTAAGAAAACTTTCCACAACCTAAACTTTCAAGCCAAACTCTTCTACAAGGAAGGGTATGTCGAGTTAGGGAACAAGAATGATTATGAATTTGGGATCAGTTTGTGACAGGATTCCACCTTTAAATATTGGTTCGGTTTTTTTTTTCGTGCAGTCTAACCTCACCGCACCATACTAATTGTTTTCAAACAAGTATCGCAGCGCCCTTTTGAATTATAGTTTCGTTTTTTCACGACTTTATGAATGGTACCTACCTGAATACTTTCAATCGCAGGCTTCAATCATATTGACCGTTTATGTGCTAAATAAAAGCATTTTCATCACGAAGTTGTGTCGTTTTTCCAAGATTACTTTCTAGGGATTGCATTAGTTTGGATAAAAGAATAATAAAAGCCATGACTTCGTTGTAAACAAGACAAAACTCGATCTTTGACGATGCCTGGTAGCCATCTTGCGGAATAATGTCCCAGGCATTCCAAAAGAGGCCTTGGCAAACTGAGGGAGACTAGGGACAAGATTTCCCATCATTCCTCAGTCAGCAATTCACGGTTTATTTTGAAACAGCCACGGGGGAGACCTCGTCTCTCCCCCCCCCTGGAAACAGCAAACCAACAACAAACAAACAAACAAAAAAGAATGAGGTTAATGCCATTTGTATGGTCGCACCGAGGTACTAGGACGAGTAGTGATGATCCTTGTTCATCTATTATTGTTTAGAGTAAAAAGGAAGATTTTCGAAGAATACAATGAAAACTGTACCATTTATTTCGTTAATAGAAAATTTACCGGTTCTCAAAGCCCGTAGCACAACTCAATTCTATTCATTTGTACGGTAAAACAAACAAACAAACAAACAGTTTTTTTTTTTTTTCTAGTCCGCGGAAGCTTGAAAGTGGTAGGCAGGGACCAGGTTGATAAAAGGTGGGTTTTAAGAAAATAGAACCGACCCGTGGGTTTCAAGAAATGATACCGGAATTTAAGTCCTCTTTTTGCATGGAGAATCTGGAGGAATCGGTCACCAATTTATGGTGTTCGGTGACAAGGTAAGTTAAATCAGAGATCTGAAAATCAAGGTCGGAAATAGAGGCATAACGTTCCTCATTTGCCAGGAGCCCATGACCTAGAGTGAGTAACTCCAATACTATATAGCTAGGCCCCTATGTCACGGCGTTTTTACTGATCAGTTTATTTTTAGACACATTTTAGGGCACTTTTTACGGGAAAATAGAATCTCCACCACGTCTATGAGCGCATTCGAAGTTTAAGATATCAAAAAGGAAACAAACTGTTATCATGAAAAGGCAAAAAATATCGTTTTTCGGTCTGTAGGTTTCGCTCACTGGTTTGTGGAATTTAAAAGATATTCAAACCCTTTGCACCAAAATCGTTTTCAAAATAAACTGGTCCGTGAAAACTCCAGACACGAGCGCATGGAAGTCGCTCGCTCGGGTTATGAGCTCCTGATTTGCACATATAACTTCCGATTACATCCCTAGATAAATAGCCGTGAAGGCCCTAAAGGGTTTGGAGAAATGGAACACAAATTTCCGATGGAACGGTCCAAACGGGAAATCAAAACTACCTTTTTACAAACAGGAAATTATCCATTTGTTATTTTGTATTTACTTTTCAGGCTATAACTTTCACTGTAATGGCAAACAATTCCAAATTTTCATCCTATTAACAATGGGTTACCCTACGTCCATGAACTTAAAGGAACTGACTGCCCACGTACCCCTTCCCTAAGCCAACACTAACACTTACTTCTTACTTAGGTCAAAAATGTTGGCTTAGGGAAGGGGTAGGTGGGAAGTTCCCCAGAAACGTATAATGATCCAAAAATTTAAGTTAAAAAATCAGTTTGTCACAGACCTATCCCAGTAAAGTCCTTCCAATCCATTATGAGATCCCTCCAAGCTTATTGCTACTACTGTCTAGTTTTCGGGTAAACGCCTACATCCCAAGCCAACGAAGCCTTGAAATAATAAATATTGGTGGCCCGCGTAGCTGGTAGCTTGGTTGTGGATATTGGGGGGGGGGATGGCATTATGGCAGGGTGGAAACAACGAGACACGACAACAAGTTTGCTCGTTCCGGCGCGCTCGAAACCGCCAGCTTTACAGGCTAATCTCCTGCAAACAGCTAAATATCCAACGTTCAGTAGATGGAAAATTTGCTAAGCCTTTTGGACGAAACACCATGTAACCGGATGAGGATTGAGATACAGCCCCCTTCAACACTAATGCGGTCTTTGTCTCGTTTGAAAACGCTTGCATTTTGATGCGTTCAGGCCTTCCATCCACACTAATAAGCTGGGCGTTTTCGGCGAAAATGCATCAACACCGGAGTCATTTCTGATCGTACTGACTCCAACTTAAGTTTTATTTTTGCACTGTTTGCAGGGAATAAATAATTTGAAAACGCTTTTGAAAGCTGATCAAATCGAAAACACATACTTATAACACTGGTGTTGACGGTCGAAACAGCAGTCGAAACGCATCAAGATGAAGACGATGCTCGAAAATATCACAGGCTCGTGTGTTTGTAGCATCCGCAAGCATATAGTTCAACTTACGTCACAACAGGAAATAAACAACAACAAAAACAACAAATTTTATTGAAAATTGGAAAATAACTAATTACATTACTTTCCCACCCGCAAATAGCTTATAAACTAATCGAGGCGGGGGGAGCTGAAGACATATTAGAAAACAAGATTTATATATAGATGGACTAAATAACAGTGAAGACACTACTATACAGTTAATAGAATTTAAACTAACATAAAACAAGGCAAGTACATAACGATTACGAAGAGAGGCTAACCTAAAGTATAAGACGGGAGACTTCGACATAATCATCTTCTGACCGCAAGAAATTTAGTAATAATTCCTTTATTTTTTTACTCTGAGAGTTGTGAACTTAGTCGTTGCAGCTCTTTATTGGCAGTGGTTTTGAAGAGAAGAAAGTCATCATATTCCTTGCTTAGGAATTCAAAGCGGTGAAATTTTTCTTTAGCAGAAGGGCGGCACTGCTGCTTTGTTGTTGAAATAAATCTTTTAGTCTTGAAATCTCCTCCGTTAACGTTGAAACGTTAGATTTGAGATCCTTATTTTCTCTCTTTAGGTTGGCAATAGACTCAGGCATAATATGACACACGAAACAAGATAACACAAAACAAATAAAAAAAAGCAGAAGGAACACTTAAACATCAGAAATTTACGAAATGTTACGCGGAGCACTTAAACACGCGGCCGTCCATCTTAAACAACATCGATTTTCGAACGTTCTGGTGTGTACAGTGGAGAACATTCCAGGAGCCTTATTGATATACCATGTTTCAGCCAAGTCGTTGTGTAAGAAAAGAAGCTGTCCATTCACAATAATCACCCCTCTGTAACAGACCCAGTGAAACCCTACAAAATTGCCCCACAGTCGGTACCTCTCTAATAGGGACACCGAAGGGACCGAGCAAAGTGTCCGTATTAGCCAGAGGTGTCCGTAGAAAAGAGGTCACTACGATGACGTCACTTTTTTTACTCCACTTACAGTTTTACGTGTTTGGTAGCTAAAACCAGGCTTACACTCGCCTTTAAACTGCATTTAAGTTTATTAATTCACAGTACAAGACACTGTCTTATCATACAACATTGTACATATCAGCTACGTCCGTACAGTCGAAGACAAATCACTGTTTTAAAACGAAACAAGCTACAGCGCAACGGTGCATGTAAAAAGTTGTAACGTAAAGCACAATTCTGATACCGTCTTTTGCTATTTTGCAAGTGCAGTAAACAGTAACTATAGGAAGAGTACAAAATGTAATAGAAAAGATCTTTATGCTATCTGTAGTTATTAAAGCCTTAAAAAAGTCGTTTATATTTCTCTGTACACCTTTTGCAAATCGTTGTTCGATATACAGTGACTGGGCTTTTGAAATGATCAAACCAGTGTCCGTAATAAAGAGATTATGTCTATACGAATTTACTATCTGGGGCCGAGACTTAGTGTCCGTTGTCCTTGTTATCGAGTTTTTTTTTTAAGAAAATATACGAGAATCTTGTCGGGACATTAAAAACTGTCCGCAATATAGAGGTGGCCGTATTAGAGAGGTGTCTGTTCCGAGAGGTTCGACGTACCGTATATGCCTGTCAACAATCGGTTTCTACGGAAACGTCAACATACACATCACGGCAACATTACATTTATTAAAATGTTACCAAGTAAATTTGAGGAGACAAAAGTTGCTTCAACTGTTTTGAAGTCACTTAACCTTACATTTAGGAGGGCCTTGGCTAACGTGAGAGGTTCCTCTCTGTGAGGCGTGTCACCCTTCCCAATTAAGACGCGTAAGGGGCACGCTCCAACATATATCTGTTTGGGGGTATACTTTGTATCCGGGGATTACTCGGGTGAGATTTGTGCGGTCGCTGAGGCCTTCAGATTTAGGGCTTGTTTACATGGCGGTGGGGGACCCCAGGTACGTGAGATAACCCACTTAGGTTTGGTAACCCGCCTGTCCATAGCATCTCTCATATGGTCAACCCATCCATCATGTAAATGTAATCAAATTAAAATGAGAGATTGATTAAATGGACAGGTAGGTTACCCCACCTAAGCACGTTACCTCACCTAACGTAACGAAGATAGCCATTGAATGAAGGTTGTCTCTGAAGCAAGCGCAGTGCGCTACCACTACGAGGAGTCAATAAGAAATTCTGACACTGAAAAAGTGAGAGAAAAATATTCAGAGAAAAATCAAATGGTAAAGTGCGTTTACTCGATTAGCCTGCGAATACAGCTGTCCCTCCTCCCATCTCGTGCCGCTAGGAACGTTTTACGGGAGAGACGTTGCAAAACTTCCCTAGGTTAAGTTACATTCGCAGGCTATTCCGCGATATTTTATTTCAAAGTTGAGTCACTTTAGAGGTGGTTCTTCACTTTGCTAAAGTTAAAACCGTATGATGTTTGTTTCCACT